ATCTATCTATCTATCTATCTATCTATCTATCTATCTATCTATCTATCCATCCATATCTATCTATCTATCTATCTATCTATCTATCTATCTATCTATCTATCTATCTATCTATCTATCTATCTTACTCTACAAACAGCCGGGGAGGCACTTACTCTGTAGAAGGTGGAAGTTCTCCGGCTTTTCCATCAGGAGGGCTACGACCACGGTCACCATCGAGTCATAGTCACTTGTCTTCCTGTATGCGACAAGTGCTGACTTGAAGGTATTATAGCTGGCTTTGTCCAGGCACTTCTTGAGTTCACTGACGTAGGCTGACAGGTAGGTCTCCTTCTCGTTCTCCTTTGTGGTACTGAATGAAAGTCTGGAGAAGACATCGGAGGCCTTGGCACTGGTTTCCCCTGAGACAGAAGACACAACGCGGTGGGAAAACACAAATTACTCAGGCTGATTGGGGGTCTGCTTGCCCTGCGGCTACTTCTCAGAAGTACAGGCGGTCCTTGAGTTACAATGGTTCGTTTAGTGACTGAAAGTTAAGACGGCACTGGAAAAAAAGTGGCTTAGGACGCTCTTTCACACTTATGACCACTGCAGAAGCCCCATGGTCACGTGATCAAAATTCAGACGCTTGAAGTCATATATGACGGGTGCGGTATCCTGCAACGGGGGGAGGGGGGTCCCACGAGCCCTTTTTGTGACCTTCTGGCAAGCGAAGTCAAGGGGGAAGACAGATTCATGGAACAACTGTATTACTAACTTAACGATCATGGTGATTCACTGGGTCAAAACTCACTTAACAATTGCCTTGGTTAGCAATGGAAATCTGGGGCTCAGTTGCGATCGTAAGTCGAGGACTACCTATTGTAAGCGAACTCTCAATACAGATAGTCTCTGACTTATAACCTTTTGTTCAATTGACCGTTCAGAGTTACAATGGAACTGACGAAGTGACTTATTGATGGTTTTTCGCACTTACAACCTCTTGCAGCACCGCCAGGGTGGAAAACATGTGTTTTATGCTCCACAAAATAAGGTAACAACTGCAGGGATTCCCCTTAACGACTATGGCAAGAAAGGTAATAAAATGGGGCAAAACTCACTGAACTGGCTTAGCAACCTGAGCTCAATTATGCTTCTTAGCGGAGGACCACCTGTACAAGGTTCTTGATGTTGTGTGGCTGTTAAGAGAGCCATACAACCCTTGTGAACTCTGGTGTGGGAAAAGACCTCTGAGGAGGCTACCGATAATTAAAAACAAACAAATGGATCCTCAGACAAAGCAAAGCTCAGAGTTTGGAGGTACAAAAGACCAGACTAAAATTATCACATCAAATTATTACCCTGTTTCCTTGAAAATACGCCCTACCCTGAAAGTAAGTCCTAGCTTGATTTTTTTACACAGGCACCCAATATAAGCCCTACCTTCCAAAATAAGCCCCAATTAAGATCCCACCCACTCCAGAGCGGATGGGTAAAAATTAAGCTAGGGTGGGGATGGTGGATGATATTCCCCCCAAAATAAGACCTGGTGCCCTTTTCGGTGGCAAAAAAACACAAGACGGGGTCTTATTTTCAGGAAAACATGGTATTCTGGATAGAGATCTCCGGAGAAGGCTCTGATGCTGGACAAGGTGTAAGCAAAGAAGAAAAGGCGAGAAGGTGGACTTGATTACAGCACTGGTGGACGCACTGTTAGAGACCTAAAGAGCCAGGATGGGGACAGATCATCCCAGAGAAAGTCTAGCCAACTAAGAGATGGCGCTAACTTGATGGCACATCATCAATTAATCATGATTCCAGGTATGGTCTTCCAGGTATGGTATATATCAGGGGTCAGCAAACCTAACCACTTTAAGGCTTGTGGATTTCAATTCCCAGAATTCCCCAGCCAGCACAGCTATGTTTGGAGAATCCCTGGGTTAAAGTCAATGAAGACCAAACCTGGAATCCCACTAAGTAATCCATGCAGCTCCTAGAGCAGAGATGTTATAGGAGGAAAGTAAGGAACGCCGATCATTGCATGGCCGCGTTCTGGACCAGTTTAGCTTGCTGGCGGTCTTCAAGGATAGTTCCATGTAGAGCACGATGCAGTAATCCAAGCTTTTTCTTTCTAAACTAGACTATGACCTAATAGCAGTTTTCCCTGATATAATGGCAAACTCTCTGTGATCCATGATTGCCTCTGAATTGTAAATGCTCCAACACTGGAAAGTTTTAAAGAGGAGATTGGATAAACCAATCTAAACTTGTCTAGAATGGTATAGGGTTCCTGTCTAAGCAGGGGGTTGGACTAGAAGACCTCTAAGGTCCCTTCCGACTCTGTTATTTTAATCTATTCTCTCTGCTTTGATTCTGTATTAAATATTCGAAAAGAACATATTCTATCTGGGTGACTTTGAGCCAATCCACCAGGAGACATGAAAGCCAGGTGGGTGACTTTGAACCAATCATCAGGATTTTGGGAGTTCTACTCTTATCTTAGGCATGAAAGCTGTCTGGTGACTTTGGGCCAGTCCCTCTCTCTCAACCCACCCCACCTCATAGGGTTGTTGTTTAGGGAAATTGGAGAAGGAGGGTGTATAATGCCTGTTTTGCCACCTTGACTTACTTATAAAGTAATAAAGGTGGAATAAAAATCAAACATAAATAAATAAATATCCTTGCTGTGCAGTATGTCAAGCCCTGTGGAATTAGGCAAGGTTGAGGGGAAAAAAGGCTTCAGAAATGAGTGAAATGTTGAAATTAATTTATTTCTTTTGAGTTTCCCTTCTTTATTCCTGCCATTAGCCTCCCTGGAAAATCCAAACTTGCATCACTTAACATCCTCTGTCAGCCCGGAGCCACCATTCAGGCGGGGAAGGATTGGCCAACTGTAATAACAGTTTTATTATTGTTTTCTCCAGACCGTTGCATGACCTCAGGAGCATTTTTCAAAAGACAAAGCAGGATATAAAGGGGATAAATTTTCCCAACGTTAAAGCATGTGCAATGCTTACTGAGAAGCAGACTCACCCTCTTACACTGGTAAATCGGAACTGAGAACAATGATTGTTGATGCAAGCTATGCGTGTCACAAAATTCAAAATAACAGAAACATTTCCTTTCCACCCTAAGGAATTATAATTCCTTTTTTTGAAAGGCCAAACTGTAGCAGAACAAAAATTCCTTTCCTGAAGCATAATCTTCAAAAGAAGAATTTGAGAAATTCCCTCTTACTCCCAATTCAAAATCTTATATGGTTTCATCCCAGGGTGAGTATGTGACTGAATTCAGTTTTAACGATGAACTGGAAACGAACAGTTCCCCACAGGTATTATCAGGTACTTTTATTTAAAGCATACCTTTCATATTTAAATCAGCCGTCAGGTGTCCTCCGCCTTTGTTTAAATGCTGCACGGAATTAAGCTGTTGAGTAGAATTTTCCCCAAAAGTCATTTTATTCTCATCGCCCTGTCCTAAAATCAAAGAAAACCAGATAAGAGATACTGGCTGGCTGAAGGAAGTCAAACCTTGAGAACAGATTAGCAGAGTGGTCCCCAACCTTTTCCAGTTTGGCGGCCTGGCCCAGTGTAGGTTGTGGCCTGGGAGTTGAGGACCCCTGAATTACCAGCAAAAACAATAGCAATAGTATTTAGACTTATATATGCCGCTTCACAGTGTTTACAGCTCTCTCTAAGAGGTTTACAGAGTCAGCCTATTGCCCTCAACCATCTGGGTCCTCATTTTATCCGCCTCAGAAGGACGGAGGGCTGAGTCAACCTTGAGCCTGGTGAGATTTGAACTGCCAAATTGCCGTCAGCTGGAAGTCAGCAGAAGTAGCTTGCAGTACTGCCCTCTGACCACTGCGCCACCATGGCTCAAAACCAACAAACATATCAGAACACCAAGTGTGATAAAACCCTCCCAAGAAATAATTCTGTTAGTTAGTGGTAATGGTACGGTAATGCTCATACTCCCCGGGCAAGATAGGCAATAGGTACATATTTTAAGTAAGTAGAAATATTATTGATTTATTATTTACTAAATTTATACGTCAGCCATCTTGTTATTAAGCAACTCTGGGCTGTTTATAGTATCATAAATAACAGTACAGGTAGTCCTCAATTTACAGCCACACTTGAGCCCAAAATTTTGTAGCTAAGTAAGACCGTTGTTAAGTGAGTTTTGTCCCATTCTATGAGCTTTCCTGCCACCGCTGTTAGGTGAATTACTGCAGTTGTTAAGTTAGTAGCACAGTTGTTAAGTGAACTTGGCTTCCCCATTGACTTGGTGTCAGGGCTCCAACAAATCCATCCCCCATTCAAATCATAAGTCTCTAGCCGCATCTCTCAAAGTAAAAAAAAAAAGATTTATTAGGAGAGGCCATGTTGGCGTTAGCTGGATGCAGCCGACACTAAAATACATCATTTATTTCCCGTTTGACCCTGGTCTTCCCCCCACCCCCGGATGTGTATTCTCCAATGGGACACATCCATAGCCAAGAGTCATCAATCATGCTCTCCAGTAATATCCTTGCGCTCTGACAACTTTGGGCTGCCAGGGTGATTATCTAGGCACTTAAGGAATGCACTGTTTTCCCTCACTCCCTTTCTACTGGCAACTAAAAGACCAAAGGAGTATTTTTTTAGTTGGCACTTTGCTTGTCAGAAATTCGCAAGAGGCGATCATGTGACTCTGAGACACTGCCACAGTCATAAAGGTGAGTCAGTTGCCAAGCAGCTGAATTTTGATCACGTGACCATGGGGATGCCGCAACGCTCATGTAAAAAATTCTGGGAGTTGAGTCACTCTTTTTCAGGGCTATTATTGTAACTTCGGCTTGTCACTAAACAAAAGGTTGTAAATTGAGGACTACCTACACAGACAACTAAAAAAATGCAAAGGTTAAACTTTAAGCATTAAGATTATAGCATTAACAAATAATTTCTTTTTTTCAAATAAGTTTTTTATTTTTCAATATAAACATATATGTTTTGTGGACGTTGCATTGACTGGGTTATGTCTCTTTTTAAGTAACAGTAACCATAATAATACAAACAGGTATGTGTAATTCTAATCTTCCAACTTCCACAACTTCAACAATACTAGTCATTCATCATAATCCAGAATAATTCCATAATTCTAAGGATTAGAAATTCTGTAGGGTTTTGAGATACGCTCCTGGGATTGACTGAATATGGTTAATATTTGGCGTTATTATTAACCCTACACATTTGGAATATTGAAGTTATGGTGGAACTATGAATCATTCTCAAAAGATATTAATAGAATTTAGGGACCATAAATACAGGGTGGCAAAGAAATGCTGTTTATGTTTAAATGAATGAATGGGGAAATGAGAAACAAATAACATTTATTGATGGCAGCTGACAGGTGGGAGGGGAATCTTCCTGGGAAGATTCAGGAGAACTTAAAGCCAGTTACTGATGAAGAAAACGGGCAAAGAAGTCTAGGCACTATTTCCTTGTTAAGGTGGATTTGCTTTCTTTCAAAAGAGCTCAAAGGAAAAGCCTCTACAAAAACAAAACCAGTCGGAAGAGGACACTCTTCTTCTGGCGAGGGGAACCCCTGGGTAAGGGGTGGCTTCTACGAAAAAATACATTTCAATGCCTCTGGAGCTGCAAACTGCTTAAAGATGGCCTCACCTGCGTTTTCAGCCAATAACAACCTGTCTTCTTGAAGAAGGCTGTGCTCGGGTTTGTATCCGCAGCCGACTCCGGTCAGGGAACGGCAAGCTTCGTCAAACTGCTTCTTGTGCTGAGGCCGAATAAATTGGTAAAACTCTGTCAAATTAAAAAAGGAGAAGGAAAGGTGATGATAGTTTAAGAGGGTTGAACGCTGGCCTATTTCTCCCCAAATGCAGAGTACATTTCAGCCTGTGCAAATCCAGCACTGTGGTTTGTCGAACTTGGTTAATGGTTCAGTGTACAGCATACCTGCTACAACTTACACCGCTATGAGTGTTCCATTGGTTGAGAAAGGTATAGTTTTTGTTAGAGATCCAATGTATTGCAGTATTGCAAAGCCAGAATGGAGAATCCTGCCCCAAATCCCTACGTTTTACTTTTCCCTCCCTTAACGGTCTCTCAATGCCCAACCAGATGTAACCAATCGGGTTTAGGCAAGCTGTTTTCCTAACGGTCGGTCCAAGTGTAGTTTGGTATGCACCTCCCTCTTCTTTCCAGCTGGGTGACCTTGAGGCAGGGTCTAGAGAAGGCACAACACTTATTTTTTGCTTCCCCAAGCATTCCCTCCCTTCACGCTCCTTTCCCACAATTCATGGCAGTCTCACTGCATAGCAGCAAAGCATAAGGTGGCTGCTGACAGTGTAGGAGTGCGCTATCTGCCAGTGGATTCCCCAGCTCCACTTCTACACCTTCAGACCGTGCAGCCAAAATTGGCAAAACAAAGGATTTTCAACAGTATTTTTGTTGTTTGGGGATGAAGGTTAAGGCAAGTCTGTGAGTCCTCCCGTAGGCACAATGCATCTATTCTGCCTTCATTCAACCACAGGTTTTTGCCATCAGCTGGCACTTAAAATCCTTTTAACTGGAGGTATCTTCAGGCTCCTCAAAGAGAACTTAAGTCAGGGGTGTCCAACCTTGGCAACTTTAAGACTTGTGGACTTCAACTCCCAGAATTCCTCAGCCAGCAAGTCTTAAAGTTGCCAAGGTTGGACACCCCTGACTTAAATCATCAAGAAAGCCAGTTTCGTGTAGTAGTGACGGTGCTGACTTAGAAACCAGGAGACAGTTCTACTCCTATCATAAACACGAAATACAACTGGGAATCCTTGAGCCAGTCAGTCTCAAAGGGTGACTGTGGGAAAAACAGGAACAAGAGTAGTAGATATGTCTGTTGTCCTGGACCATATCTGTATGCTTATATCTGCGAATGCATTATTATATATGGATATTTACTAATATATTAATTAATATATAAATAATACACAATAAATAACAAATGTATACAAAGCCAGAATTAAGCAATCAAAAGGTGGGAAATGCCACTGCTACAAAGAAGCTGAAGAAACAGGATTTCCTAGTTTCTTGCTTCCTGCTGCAACAACGTTGCACAGACTTACTACAAAAAAGTGGCCTGACATAAGCATAAGTTAGTTTGACCGTGTGAAAATTCATATAAACTGTGAGTAATGACTGCGAAAGGATAGCACAAAAGATTGGTAACCCACTGACACACAGTATGCATATAAAATGGAAGGTGGTTTTATGTTTTTAGGTTTTGTCTGTATATGTTTGTCTTAAAAAATAAAAACTTTTATAATAAAAAAAAGTGGCATGACAAAAGTACCGTATTTCCCCATGTATAAGCCACCCCTTTTTTCCAAAATTTTCAAGCCCAAAAAGTAGGGGGGTGGCATATACAAAGCAGGTACACTTTTTATACGTGAAAAATGCATAAAATAATAAAGTAGGAATAAACTGGTTTTCCAGCAGTATGCTATACTTTTTTGTAAAAATTGTACGTGATGATACGATTACGAGTGCGAGTACGCGATAGAAATGCATACGCTAGGCATCGGCCTGAATGCTTCGTTCCTACTCTCGTTCTGATGCGTAGATTGCTAGCGTCGCCCGCACCGCTTTCGGCGTCATGACCGAAGTTGTAGATCTAGACGTCGAATTTTGTTTCTTTGTAAATTTTCTTTCTTCATAACTTGTTTCTCTAATAAAATATTTTTTTCAAAACTTCACAGTCCAAAAATTGGGGGGGTGGCTTATACAAAGGGGGTGCTTATACATGGGGAAATACGGTAAGTAGCAAGGTTACACTGGAAGATCTGCAAGAAATACCAATTGCCTGAAAGCCATAACTGGTGGGACCCCAAAATAGAGAAAGTCATCGAAAAATGAAGACGCTAAATTGTGCTGGGACTTTAGAATTCAGACAGAGAAGCCTCTGCCACGTAGCTCGCCCGTCTTAACAACTGTCGATAAGAAAGATAAATTAGCCTGGCTAGTGGATGTAGCAGTACCTGAAGACAGCAAAAGAGAAGAAAAAGAGCTGGAGACAATCACACAATACAAAGACCTGTGAATCAAAGTAAAATGACGGTGGCAAAAGAAAGCAAAGATAATACTAATTGCCATAGCCACCTTTGGGGTGCAATCCCAAAATATCTGGAGCACCATGGGAACACCTTCGGCGTTTACAAAATCCCCATCAATCAATTGCAAAAGGCAGCTTTACCTGAAAACAGCTGACATCCTGCAATGATACCTTTACCACCATCAAACATACCTGCCCTTCCCACATTTTTGAAAAGGACTTGATAGGGGAATAAAAATGACAAATCTAGTTCAAACACCTGGCTGACGGTGCAGCCAATCATAATAATTAAGAATTTGTGCGTTAGCCACAATGGTTACTGTACATGCTGCCCCTGTTACAAACATAATCTCTATATATAAAACAGCGAAATACCACTCACGCATCATCACAAAATCTCTAGAACCGTAAAGCCTACAAACTTGAAATTGGGCACATCTGTTCCTCTTGGCTTCTAGGGGCTCACTAAGAATTTTTTTTTTCCGAAATGATCATCAGAGCATTAGTATTTTCTATATTATTATTATTCACACGCTCTGATGCTAAGGAGTTCTACTCCCCCTCCCCACCTGAAAATAAATCTGCTCCAAATGCAAAACACAAGCAGAGGAGAGGAGTTTTAGTTTCACAGCACCAAGAAGCTTTAGTTCAGAACAGTTGAGCTAAGCCACGCCCAGGCTCCTTGCTGTCTCCTTCTTGCTCACACAGCAAATTTCCAAACGGCCCTCAACTCTTTCACACACTGGCAGGATGCTAACAAGATGAATACCGATAGATGCTGGTGGGCAGAGACAGAATTTTTTTTTTCTTATTTTCCTCCCCAAAAACTAAGCCCAACCACACAGTTTCGTAGCGAAGCACGGGTACATAGATGCAAATCCAATCAGCAGAAAGCAGCCTTAAAAAATATCAGCAAAGTGTTAATCAAAGTATTAACGAAAGGAATGCAAGTCCCATTTAATCCCTCGTTGTTATTCATACATACTATGGGTACAAGAGAAACCTAGGCACTTCAAATACCTCGCAGTAGGGTGTGGGTGTTTTCATCTTCTAAGAAAAGTCCACTCAACTGAAATAACATAGCATCGAAATCGTGGTTTTTTTTGTACTGGTGGAGGGTTTGTGAAAATACATCAAAATTTAACTGGCTCAGAGATTTCTGCACCGCTGCAATAAAAGCGACAGCTCTGGCCGTCTTGGGGTCCGAAGAATTGGCTGCCTCGTTAGTTTGCTGTAAAGTTAAAAAAAAAAAGATTATTATTTTTTTCTCTCCATACGCCCAGTTGTTTTAGCCATCTTAATTTCAACTGTCTTTCCCCCCCTTCCCTTTAAATATCTTTACTGTCTAAATCCCCTCCAAATATTTCCCAGAATGAATTTCAGGGCCTGAATAGCTATTGTGCTGATTCTTTGGGTTTTTTTCTCTTTTATTTGTATCCCACAATTATTATTTTTACAAATAACTCAAGGCAGCGAATGTACAAAATATACCTTCCTCCTCCTATTTTCCTCACAACAGCCCAGTGAGGTGAGTTGGGCTGAGGGAGATTGGCCCAAAGTCACGCAGCTAGATATCATGCTTTCAAGACAGGACTAGAACTCCCAGTTCCCTGGTGATTGGCCTAAAGTCACCCAGCTGGCTTTCATGCCTAAGGTGGAACTAGAACTCACAGTGTCCTGGTAATTGGCCCAAAGTCACCAGCCAGCTTCCATGCCTAAGGTGGGACTAGAACTCCCAGTCTCCTGGTGATTGTCCCAAAGTCACCCAGCCAACTTTCTTGCCTAAAGTGAAACTAGAATTCATGGTCTCCCACTTTCTAACCTGGTGCATTAGCCAATAGATCAAACTGGCACTTAATTTATGTCTTACGGCCTAGTGAATATTATCCTTAATCTTCTTGCAGGCATCTGTGTTCTGTGAATAATGGTGCGGTTAAGACTTGAAGAAGCAAGAAATTTGAGAAGTGTTTTTTTCTTTGATGAGACATTTTAATGAATCTACTTGAGGTTACTTTTTCCTTAAGGCCCCAAATAGTTTCTTGTAGATGCAGACAGCCCAGATTACTAGGAAACACTATGCTTAAAGTAAATATAATTAGTTCAGGTAGATGAAAGGAACTCTTGGTCCTTCAGTTCAACTTGTCTAATCATGCCAGCTGTGATTCTCCTGAAATTCACCAAGAAAAAGCCTCTCACTCCCATCCGTTTTGGCCTGGTGTGGTTTCTCTTTACTTTTCTAATGGGAAATCCTGAGACAATACATGTACAGGTGGTCCTTGACTTACGATCACAATGGAGCCCAACATTGATGCTGCTAAGCAAGGAAGCCAAGCGAATCACTGCAGCTGTGAAATCAGCAACACCGTGGTTAAATGGATCTGGTTTCCCCATTGTTTTTGCTGGTCAGAAAGTCTCAAAAGCAGATCCCATGGGAGAGGGCAACTGGGACGAATACATCCGGATTCAGCCAGTTGCCAAGAGTCCAAATTTTGATCATATGGCTACATCGGTCACGTGGAAAAATGGTCATGTCACTTTTTTCCGTTGTAACTTCAAATGGTCGCTAAATGAGTGGTGGTTAAGTCAAACGTGCTCAGCCTCGCACACACATCTGTTTTTCCTGGCGAATATCACTGATTCTTAAATCTTGGTGTAATAACAGGTGGCCGTGAGATTTCACAGCCTACCTTACTGTCTGACTATATATGTTTGACTTGTCAGATGCTCCAAAAAAAAGAAAAAAAAAGATGATATTTATTCATTGGATTTATATCCTGCTACCGTCATCAACAGACTCTGGAGCTCACAAAAGAGAATAACAACATAACGCTGTGTTAAAAAGCACAAATAGTGCTTTTAAGTTAACCTCAACAGCACTCCACCCCACACTCCCAAAATCTCTCTGATAAAACTCAATTTTGGGTCAGGCACAAACAACCAGATGCGCACACGTCAAGGCTCATCTTCGCAGGCTGGTTCATCTTCGCAGATTGGATAAACTTCAGTGGCATTCAAAGATGTGTGTGTGTGTGAAGTCTTGCTGTCTTATGCCCCCATAACAATTCCAGACTAATTTCTCGCTTGACTCCCCACCCTGGCTTGGCCAGTTCTCCCATCTGTTTCTTGGAAAACAGGTAACGTCCACCAGGAGGCCATTCCAGAGAGACAGCACCATTACGGGGTGGCGGGGGGGGGGGGGGGACAACCTCTGGACTTCAGTACTCCTGTCGTCCCCCCCAAAATGGGGGAGAGTGTGGGGTCCTTGGTTGTTTTCTTGCAGATGTTTCATGATGCAACGAGGGAGCATCAGCAGTGCTAGAAGGGAGTGGGGTTTGCAGAGAGGAGGAGGGAGGAGGAGGAGGAGGGGATTGTGAGGTTCCTGGTGCTCTCTGAGCTTGGTTGTTTTCTTGCAGACGTCCCTTTACCCAACTGGACCTTGGGAAAATCCCCCAAAAAGTCTGCAGGAAAATCCCCCACTCGGTTTTCCTACCGATCGATCGTTCTTTATTTGGGGTCGCAGGATACCGTTCTCAGGGGGATAGAGAGAGAGAGAGAGAGAGAGAGAGAGAGACTTTTGGCTTCATGCAAGGAAAGCAGCAGAAGCCGCAGAAGTCTTTCTTTCTCTCCCCCAAACTCTGCCAGAAACGAGTCTTTGCCAGCCTCTTGGAGCAGGAGGCCTTGCAGGGTCCCAAAGACTCATTTCTGGAGGAGTCTGGGGGAGAGAAAGACTTTTGCTGCTTTCCTTGCGTGCAACCAAAAGCAGAAGAAGAAAGGAGCAGAAAGAAGCAGCCCAGGGGGCCCAGGTCAGGAGCAAGTTTTCCCTCTCCGCCCTTTCCCCCCTCCTCTCACTACCTCGCGTTGTTTGCAATGCAAGCCTTGCATTCCCGCGGGCCATGTGGGCAGTGCAGCCTTGTGTTACCACGCATTAATTGCTTTGGGGATTGCTTTGCGGGTGACGTATCTCTGCGGACCATCAAAATTTTCTCGCGGAACACCAGTGGTCCCCGGCCCATTGATTGGCGACCACTGGTTTAGGCCTCCTGTTTGAACAGAGATTTGGAGTAGAAGATCTTTGAGGTTTCTTCCAACTCTGGGATTCTGTTCTGGGTGGCAAAGAGGGGCATGAATCACTGTACAAGTAGTCCTTGACTTGCAACAGTTCGTTTAGTGACCATTCGCAGTTATAACGGCACCGAGAAAAAGGGGACTTATAATCATTTTTAATATTACCAAATCACTGCAGCATTCCCCTGGTCACAGGATCCAAATTCAGACACTTGACATGACTCAAGTTTATGACAATCCACAATGCATGACACATCCTGGAGTCACATGATGACTTATGGTGACTTTCCGACAAGCCAAATCAACGGGGAGGTCACCACCATGTGATTCACTTGAACAAGTGTGGCAAGAAAGCTCATAAAATTGGGCAAAATGCAATTAACTACAGCTGTCAAGGCCAGAACACACAGTTGTAATTCATCAGTTGAACAGAACCTGCTGACACATGCATGGTGCAATCTACGCTATGATTGGTTGCTGTCAATATACAAGGGGAATTTCTCTTTTTTCACCTCTTCCCTGTGTTCCGTATACAGATAGTCCTCGACTTACAACAGTTCATTCGAAGTTACAACGGCACTGAAAAGAGACTCGTGACCATTTTTCAGAGTTACGACCTTTGCAGCCTTCCCCACGATCATGGGATCAAAACCCAGGTGCTTGACAACTGGTTCATATCTATGGGACCATCTCTTGCCGGTCACCTCTACCCGACCCATCCGAGTGAGGAGGCAGGGAATGCTGTGGGTCCCATCCTCGAGGGAGATACACCTGTCGGGACCCAGAAGAAGGGCCTCCTCCGTGGTGGCTCCCTCTTTCTCTAGAACATCATTCCCCCAGAGATTAGAACGGCGCCCGCTCTCTAATACTCTTCCGGAAGGCGCTGAAGACCTGATTCTGCCAGTTGGTCCTAGGGAACCCAGAGCGGTATGGAGCCCATCAAATGGCTGGTGTGATCTGCTGTCGCCGGGGGGGGGATGGGTGGGCATTGGGGGATGATTTTTTAAAAGTATTTATTTATTTATTTCAGATTTTTTTCTATTGTACTTTATTAATTTATTTGATTCTTGTTGTTATTTTTTATTCTTTTTTTTTTTGGTTTTGTTTTGAAATATGGTTTTACGTTCTGTAAGCCGCCTCGAGTCACCATGGGCAAATAGGTGCCAGTATAAATTCAATAAATAAATAAATAAATATTGATGGCCGTTGCTGGGTCCCAAGGTCATGTGATCCCATTCTGCAGCCACCTGAACAGCAAAGTCAGTGAGGAAACCAAATTCACTTAACAACCAGATTTACCAACTGCAGTGATTCGCTGTGGCAAGAAAGGTTGCAACGTGGGGCAAAACTCACTTACCAAACGCCTCACTTAACCACAGAAATTTTGGGCTCCGGTTGTGATCGTGAGTCAAGGACTAGCTGTACTGCTTAGGTTGCCTCCTGAAGTTCCTGTGCCACCTTGTGTTTTTCAGGAGGATGACAAAGACTGCCGTAAACTTGAATGCTAAATATATTTATAAAAACTATAAAAGACTGCAAGCTTGTGTTAGTGTCTCTGCCTTCATCTGGACGGCTGCTGTGCGGTTCCTTAACCACTGTCTCATTTAGCAATATCAATTTTGGATTAAGTTGTGGCCATAAGCCGAGGACTATCTGTAGTCTTTCATCCCAAGAAAGGCCATAACTTGTCCATCAGCCAAACCTGAGCAAAGCACCCTCTGTCCATGCGTTCTATCTGCTGATCTTGCAGGAGCAACAAAGCCAGGAGGATTCAATGCGACCCCCGTCCGAGAACTACACAGGATCATAAAGGATCACCAATGTACAAAACAGAAGCTCCAGCGGTTTTGTCCCTTCCAGACAAAATGCACACATCACAGTGTTGTCTAAACAACTGTCCTTAAACTAGATCAGCCAGACCAACACAGCTACTGACTTATGTCATGTGCTCATCATGTTTATTTGTAGCTTAGCATGAACAGTGGCACAAATCTAACTCATCAGGCCAATGTAGAGGGAGTGATGGCGATGAGGAATTTGTTTCAAAATTCCAACAAAGAATTGTGGTTGCAGCAGAAATTTTTTTTTCTTACTCTTGTAAGCATGTGGAGTATTAAGACATAGGCTATAAATAGTATAGGCAGAAACCTAGCAGAGAATATTTAGGGGGAAGCTAGGAAATTGTCATGTTTAAGAGGAAACAAAACTCAGCATACTTGTTTGTACAATCATTGCTTTCTACAGGCAAGGGGAAGTGCATGAAATTAGCACAACAGCTTTGGAATGCAGATCGTTCTTGACTTCACGATCGCAACTGAGCCCTACGTATCTGTGGCTAAGTAAGGCAGTTGTGAGTTTTGCCACAGGACCTTTCTTGCTACAGTTCTTAAGTGAATCATTGCAAATTGTTAAGTTAGTAACACGGATGTGAAGTGAATCTTACTTCCCCATTCACTTTTCCAAAGGGGAATTAGATGACCATGGGACACTGTCACAAATATGAGCCATTTGCCAAGCATCTGAATTTTGGGGCATGTGACCAAGAGGATGTTGCAACGGTCCTGAGTGTGAAAAAAAAACAAAACACGGTCCTAAGTCACTTTTCTCAATGCCGTTGCAACTTTGAACAGTCACTAAACGAACTGTTGTAAGTTAAGGACCACCTGTAACGAACATTGTGTAATAACCAGGCTCTTACAGAGAGAAGGGACCCTAATAAAGCAAAGGTGTCCAACTCTGGCAACAGTTTCTCCCATTACTCCAAGGCAGTAATTGTCTTGAATCAAACAACGTATTTGTGAATTGGTTTTATTATTATTATTATTATTTTAATTTTTAAATACTCTGTAGTGTGATTGTGATGTGGTATTTGGGGCACTGTGCTGGAGTAGCTTTCAAATTTCATTGTATTCGTGGAATGCAATGACAATAAAGGTATTCTATTTTAAGACCTGTAAAATTCAACCCCTAGAATAAGAGACCTTCAGATTTGACAGCCTTAAGACTTGTTGGACTTCAACTCCCAGAAATTCTTCCTCCAGTCCATGTCAGCTCAGGAATTCTGTGTGTTGAAGTCCACGAGTCTTAAACTTGCCAAGTTTGAAGACTCTTGCCCTAGAATTTCTCCATCCGTGGCTGGCTGGGGGATTCTGGGAGTGGGAGTCCACAGGTCTCAAAAGCTGCCACAGTTGGACACCTCCGCTATAAAGGAGATTAAAGGCTGTAGGAGGAAAACACCTGTCCTCCGCAACAGTCAAAAGGTCGTGTGAACGGGGTTCACCCGCTTATTGGAAATACATCCTTTTACAGCCAACGCAAATGCCACGTACCCAGCCGCTGACTATCTTGATTTTCTTCCTGCCGCCGCCTTTCTGCTGGTCCATCATTTTTTTCTCATGCTGAAGGGACAGCGTCGACAAGCGCTTTGCCTATGAAAGGAACAAGGTTAATAGCAATGTCTTCTTTTTCTCCAGGGGTGGACGGGTTTGGGGGTACCTGTGGTAGCAAAGGTAGCGTCAGGGCTCCGAGCGGTTACCTCTATTTAAATCATGAGTCTCAAGCCGAACTTCCGAAACTTAAAAAGAAAATTTATTAGGAGGAAACATGCCCTGTAGCCGACTCTGAGACACATAATTCACTGTCACCCTTGACCCTGGTTTTCTCCCCGCCCCCTGGGTGTATCGTAATTCCTATTCTCCAATGGGACACCTCCATAGCCCAGAGTCATCGATTATGCTCTCCAATGAGAATTTCACCCGGCAGAAACTTCGGTCACCTAGAAACTATCTTTGAAAACTATTTATGGAATGCAAGCTGCCCACTGCTCCCCCCACACAGTTTCTGTTGGCAAACTCTAAAAAGACCATAGAAATATTTTTATGAGTTGACAGGTAGCCACTCTTTCTAACGTAACTTCAAGGGACCACAAAAACTGACCTTCACGACATCCCACAATAGATGAAGAAATCATTCAATTGGTGGGAAGACCCTTGAGGTGAAGAACGAAGCATTTATAGCTAAAGATTGGCATTCTTTCCTTCACTCGTCCATTTATTCATTCATTTTATATCGCTACACAAGTTAGTTGTTTTAGCAAGAGTTTTATCGCACGTTGCAACATTCCTCGCTACACCGATTAAGTGAATCACTGCAGTTTGTTAATAACATGGTTGTTGGAAGTGTTATCTGGCTTCCCCATTGACTTCACTCATCTGAAGGTCGGAAAAGGGGAACCACATGACCCAGGGACACTGCAACCGTCATAAATACGGGCCAGATGTCTGAATTTTGATTATGTGACCATAGGGATGCAGCCACGGTCCTAAGTGTGAAAAACGGTCCTAAGTCGCTTTTTTTTTTAGTGCTGCTGTGTCTTCAGTCACTAAAGAAACTGTTGTAAGTTGAGGACTATTTATTTGCCCCTCATCTTCTTTCAGAGTGACTCTGGGAGGCTTACTGCACGGTATTTATAGTGTTTTATTCTTATTTTTATTCATATTGTTGAATTGTTTTAGTCTTTTTAACATTGTAAGCCGCCCAGAGTCACCTTATGATTGAGATGGGTGGAAAATAAATGTAATAAATAAAAAGATAAAAAGCCCAAGTAGTGGAGATGATTTAAAATAGAAACCCACGATTTGAGCAAGTGGGATTTCCCCCCTGAGAAATATGCTGACATTCGAGGGCCAAAAACAGTCAAATCACTTTAAAAAAAAAAAAAAACACAAAACATCTGAGCAAATACAGAAATTACAAGAAAGAAATCCAACTCAGAAAGGAAAAAAAAAAAGAGAGAGGAAAAAAAACATCTTAGCAGAACGTGAAACAGAGAATTAAACATTTCTCGGCTAAGCTGTACGATTAGCAGCAGAGTATTTGGGTGATTTTTTTTTTTAAACTTCTGCAAATGTTTTAATCCTTAATCAATTTGCGAATCAGAATTTTTATAAGTTCAAGGGAAAGCAATTTGCTGCTTTTAAACTCTAACATTAAACCCCAATATTGCCTAGGGGGTTCAGGATGCCTTACATATTAACAGATAACAGATCATCAGAGTTGGAAGGGACCTTATAGGTCATCTAGTCCAACCCCCTCCCTACACCATTTCTGACAGAGGGCAGTCCAATCTCAAGTGATAGCTCTCCCACAACTTCCGAGGGCGAACTGTTCATTTAGAAAGCTATTGCTGATACCAAAATACGGCTAGTCCTCAACTTACAACAGTTCATTTACCATTCAAAGTTACAATGGCACTGAAAAATGTGACTTATGACATTTTTCTCACTTAAGACCCTTGCAGCATCCCCATGGCCGCATGATTAACAACTGACTCACGTTTATGACCGCTGCAGTGTCTTGGGGTCATGTGATCACCTTTTGTGACCGTCCTGACAAGCAACCGTGGGGGAAAGCAGATTCCCTTAACAACCGTGCTGGCTAACTTAACAACCGTAGTCATTCACTTAATAACTGCAGCAAGAAAGGTCATAAAATGGGGTAAAATTCACTTAACTTCTATCATTTAGCAACAGAAAATTTGGGCTCAATTATGGTCAAGGACTACCTATATAGAAGATTTTTTTTTTTTAAGTATTTGATTTATTTATTTAGTGCAGCTTTTAGGTCTTTCCAAAGCACAAATATCTAAAGGCAGTTTATAATGAAATAATTATTCCACCAAACCTCATACATCAATTTCAATACTTTTAAAGGAGAGAAATGCTGATGATGTCTGCCTTCCTTAATAGGTCAACTTCAGACAACCAAATAAGCCCATGAAAGCAGTGCTAGTCGGGGATTGTGGAAATTCAAGAGTAATGTACTGTATCTGTAGAGAACTATTTATGAAAGCTGACTTAAGAGTTACTGGGAAAATCACAATATTTCTATGTGCCATTTTTTTTTTGCCACTCAAAGCACAGGAGTTCAAGTAGGAGTCAGAAGCAGACGAATGACTAGGCGAAATCTATCTTTTAATTTCTCCACTACGCAGCAAGTGACATTCCCAAACAATAGCCGGAGCCAATCTTGAAAATCAGCAGGGCAGACTTAGAAATGAATAATTAACTTAACAACTTAGTTAATCCAGATCTCTATCTATCATCCCTTCCTCCATCCATCTGTATCAATCGGTATGTATGTATGTATGTATGTATGTATGTATGTGTACGTACATGTCCGTCTGTCTGCCTCTCTATCTGTCTACCGTATCTATCTATCTATCTGTCTGCCTACTCTATCTATCTATCTGTCTATCTATCTATCTATCTATCTATCTATCGATCGATCGATCTATCTTTCTATTTATCTATCTATCTATCTATCTATCTATCTATCTATCTATCTATCTTTCTATCTATCTATCTTTCTTTATCTATCTATCTTTCTTTATCTATTTATCTATCTATCTGTCTGTCTGTCTTACTGTCGCCCTAATTTTAAGATACTGTCTATCTACCTATCACCTACCTATCTCTGTATGTCTGCTTGTCTGCCTGCCTAATTTTTAAAAGCCACTATCTATCTACCTATCACCTACCCATCTAGCCAACTCTTATATATGTATCTAATGTTTCAAAGGTATGCTGGGCATCTTTTGAAAGAGCCTTTATTTAAAGCCCGAATATCGTTGTGAGACAAGTAATGGAAAATTAAACACAGGAGAAAGCTTATGTTTACGTCGCTGCCACCCACATCAAAGGAATCCTACAATAAAGGGGACCCAAATGAGCCCCGACAGTCCAGTCCATGCATACCGATTCTTCTCCCGGCAAGCGTTTCTCCTCGTATGCTTCATTACAACTTTTATCGCTGTGCTCCAGGGCACCCAAGAGGCCTCCAGGCTGCCTTCTGGAAGAGGATGGGCCCTGCCCATAGGCCACACACAGTCCGGCTTCTCCGTTATCTGAGAAAAGAAACAAAAGCCTGAAGAAAAAAATGCATTTCGAAGAACTTTGTTTCTTTCTTTCTAAGGCAGGGATCTTCAAACTTGGCAGCTTTAAGACTTGTGGACTTCAACTCCCAGAACTCTTCCTCCAGTCATGTTAGCTCAGGAATTCTCAGGAATTTGAAGTCCACAAGTCTTAAACTTGCCAAGTTTGCAGACTCTTGCTCTATTCTTTCTTTCTTTCTTTCTTTCTTTCTTTCTTTCTTTCTTTCTTTC